GAGCCCCTCCGGGATCCGGCGGGGTGGGCGGAGGGGCGGGCTTTCGATGGCCGGAGTTTGGAGCATCTAAGGCTGTAAAGGCTGTAAAGTGAACACAGCACTCTCGAGATTTGGGGATGACCCAGATATGCAGCATAGTCTGTATACCTAGATCTTCCAACTATGAAACATGTTGGCCATTTGGCTGGTTCCAAAGATGAAAAGGAATAATACGGAATACCATTTGCACTGACTGATGTTGGAAGAAAACATGAAAAACACTAGACCTGGACTGACTGGGTCCTCAGTCTTTGCGTGCCTCACAGGATCCAGTGCCTGTAGAAATAGGAGAAATCAGGTCAAACAAACCTCGCGTCGCGGTTTAGGTGACTGGACATCCTGCGACAGGTCGCTGCAATTTTTGTTGTGATGTCCAAAGTCAGGCTGAGCTGAACCTCTATCAACTTAACATGTGGCACTATGTGATATGTGTTTCTCACGTAAGGATTTCCGGATATGCACTAAATTGATTCGTCCAAATGCATCCAAACGTACAATCTAGAAGAAGAAAAGCAGTGTCGTTACTTTCAAACAAACATGTCTGGTCACTCCCTCAAATGAATCCGCTGACATGTCCTGATATTCTTTCATATTGAATTGAAACCCCTTCATGTTTAACTGTTTAACTGAAACCCTTGTGTTTTGATTGATTAACTTTAATGTTCACATACTACTGGTTGAGAAAGGAAGAAAGGAGCATCGGCAAAAAAGAACAAGTTAGCCAAATTATGAGGCTTACCCGAGGGATGAGGAGGCATCGGCGAAGAACTTGCGAGATTCAACTCTGCCATAGGTGGAGTCCAACATGCATGGGGTATAACACACGCATGGAGAGTGGTGGTTGTGGTGGTGCTAGGTGGTTCTGGTAACTAACTATTATATAATCTATTTTATGAAGTCGGATAATGGGTTTGCAGCGTTTGCATGTTTGGCTCGGGTTAATTAGAGTAGTTTGGTCATGGTGTTTGTTATTCAGGGGTGAACATATTGCAATTGATCAATAGTGACTTGACATGAGCCCTTCTTCAGCCATTTAGAACTTCAGAGTAGATGAAGAGGCCTCGAGCGTCCAGGTAGCTAACGTGACAGGAATGTGACAACCCGCATCAGCCTGCATCAGAGCATTCATGTCCTTGGCAGAGACATCCTTGAAGCCCACGATAGACCCTTTCGGGACGCCCACACTGCAGTTCGTCTGGTGGCAGGTGCCCTGCAACGGGCGAAGAAACACGGTTTCTGCTTCCCCACACGTTGAAAGCCTTTGCGTGGTGTGGCTGTGGACTCGAGACCCAGTCCGACCCCACACCCGCTTCGATTCCAGCGGCGAATCCGGGGGGGGCACATTGACTCAACATCACCCGGGCCAGTGAATTGAACAATGAGATCCGCCAATGAAGCCAAGGATGCCAGAAACACACGACCCAGTTCCAAAAGGGATGCGGATTTGGAGGGTCGGAGTGTCCAATCAGGGATCAACAACCACACCTTTGGAACTCCTGCACTTGTCTACAGATGCATCGTTTCAGCCTGTGCCGCCAAGTAGGGGTAGCTCTGCTCTGTGCAGACGTTGTGCTTCTCCAGGTAGGAGAAAGCCAAGTCCATAGAGCCTCCCTGGCATCCCATATTTCCTTATGTCTTCAGCAAAAAAAACAAAGTCCGGGTGTCTTCCAACACTACCCAGCTCATTGATGTCGTCGCTGGATGGTAAGCACATGGATGTAGGGGAACAACAATATATTTGGGGAAACGCATCCATGGTCCAAGGATGTCTAAACACGTCTAAACTACTTCCAGGAGAACACGTTTCAATGGAATCGGACATTCATGGATATTCCATGATATTCCCACCAAGCTTGGTATGATGGGCAACCTCGAGTGAACTTCGGGATGTCTTCCGGATTCTTCCCACCAAACCCTAATATTGCACGATGGGAAGCACCTGATGTGGAGTGTCTTTAATCAAAGCTTTCGGGAGCTCTAAATGACTCCTTTGAAGTTCCGCACGTACGAATCCGGGCCAAGGAGCCGTTCTTGGCGCAATCCACCAGCTGCTGCTCACTCAAAGAAATCAACTTTCCACTGGCAATTTTCCAGGCGCCCTCCAAAGCTCCGGAAGTGGAAAAACTCCAGCAAGAACCACCTGAGGCTCCACGAAAGGCTGAGCTACACGGATGTCTAATTGCTCGCTCTTTTCTCCCCACGACAACTGCTTGCCGCATCAATCATATCGGGTCAAGAGCACCACGGTTCATCTACTCTTCCTAGTTTGGGGAGGGATGCCTCTCTTACTGGTCGACATTCACCATGAAATGCCCTAAATGAGTATATAGACAAATAACCACTGAAAACGACAATGAACACGAAAACACCTTCCATGCAAACTTACACTTCAGGATGCCATGCAAAGTAAACAAATATCGAACAATATATTGAAACAATCATTCAATCATAGCTCCTGCCCGGACGTGCCATCCCTTTTGGGGTTTGACCTTCCATCAACCGTAGTTCTTTCTTCAAATCGAAGGCCTAACAGTTAACAGAGATCTCATGTCTCAAACATGAGTTATATAGTTGTTACTTTCAAAAAGAAGGCGATTCTCGCCATGTCCACATGTCTCCATGTCGAACATCGAACGTTCGAACTTTCACCGGCCCAGGGCACATTTGCCCTGATTCTTGGGGTCAGTGACCGCACCCTTCTTCACCCAGTCCAACGACTTGGGCAAGCTGGTCCTGAAGGCTGAAGGCCGACGAGGGGTGGTTGAGCACGCGCAGGGAAACCAACCAAAAGCAGCTCTTTTTACAGAATAAGAAAACAACAACAAGAACAACAACAACAACAACAGCAGCAGCAGCAACAACAACAGCAACAAGCTTATTTAAGCAAACAACTATATACTTCAGAGTGATAGATTATGTTATTTTCTGAAACAAATAAAACAACCGGATATAAACTAGCAACGGTCCAACAGCAATGCAACACTTTCTGATTCCATTTGTCCCAGGGTCTTGTTGACAAACTCCTCGCGTCCCAGGTAGGGCAAACCAGACCAAGGCTCCTTAGACTTGGTCATGCAGCCCACGTGGTCCAAGGCAAACTCCTGCAACTGCTTTCACCCCCTGCTTTCGTCACTGTCACCCGCCCACCCCTGCACCTGCTCACGGGGACCTCAAAGCATATGCTTGAGACACGTCACATAGTCACACGAATGTGTAGAAGCCTTTCCAAAAGCTCTCCCTGAAACTAACATGGAAGTGGAAAACCAACTGTTTGATCTGTTTGTAGTGGAAAATGGTCTTCTTTTCGGGGCCATTCTCCACTTCCATGTTAGTTCCAGGGAGTGTAAACTTTGTGGAACCGACATGAAAGTGGAATCCATGGCCCCATTAAAAGACCCTGAAATCCTCCACAACAGAAGGTGTTCAGTCCACGTATACCCGTGTGGTTGAGATGTGTGAGTTCCAGTGACCTTTTACTTGACAGGCAGGGTGCGCAAAGAAAAGGACAACACAGGCAGGGTCCTAGCGCTTCCTGTCGGGGTGCCCTGTCTGGAGTTTACGTAGTGCGGAGATATCCAGCCAGGTGACCCCGAAAGGAAGCAGCTGGAAAAGATTCCGCCAAGAAAGGTTCTGCAGTTCTCTCCTCGGGCTTGAGATCCGTAAAGGCAGTAATGCCCAGCTGATAGCTGTGCCCTGCAGCGTTGTGCTTTTCGATGTGCTGCACATTGGAGGTGAAAATGTCGAAACGCTTCTGGCGCTCCTGGCATTTTGGTGGAACATGCAGATTGGGAGCGATTGGGCGCTCCACAAAGAGCATAGCTGGCTGAGCAGGGCGCTTCAGCAGTATCATGGGCTGGTAGGGTTTGGCGAAAGACCTGGACACCACTGACACCACCCGAAACTGGACAAAGTTTAGATGGTCAGGATTTCAGTGGCGTTGCAAGGACACATCCAACGACATCCTTAGGAGACGAGTCTCACCTGCAGCTTCAGATCGGATTTGGAGCGACTTTGGAACGTCTGGCACCAAGTCCAATTCCGTTCTCTTCAAACATCTTCAAACCAACATCCACTGACTCCTGCTGTTTCTGTTTCCCTTGAAAAATAGGTTATATATACAGTAAATGGTTATAACTTATAACCATCTTCAATCTGTTCATACTTAGTAAACCAATCCCCCAAAAAGGTTAAAGGTTATCCACTGTCTGGGTAGGTCCAGCGGGAAGATACGGACAAACCTGGTGTACCTTGACCAGCCATTGACTAGCCTGGTCACCTGTAGACTAGCCTTCATTCAATATAGGATGGCTGCGGTAGGGCTCCAATGTCCAACTATCTCCGTCTATAAGGTACTGGTTGGCAGGGTGACTGACCAGTTCAGTCCCTACCCTCTCAAGGTATATACTTGGAGCCCATCTGCGCCATTCGGAAAGCCAAATGGAGAACGAGTCCGGCTCCTCCTTGGTGGCGTAGCTCTTCTCGAACTTCGTGATGAAGTCTTCGAATGCCTTGCTCACGTCCGACTCTGCCTTGCAAACCCCAAGGGCCACGAGGACAGCAAACTTCATGCCTTTTGCCATCGCAATATGTCGCAAAGCGAGGGTATCTGGTCAAAGATTTTGAGCCGTTGAATGCTGCATCGAAGCGAGTTGCGTGCTGCTTTGAATGACAAGATGCCAAACTCGGGGGCTGTTTCAACATACAACTCAACTGAATCCTCTGAAGCACTCTAGAAAATGCTTCAAACATGTGCATACAGTACTGATTGCAAAAAAGAGACTCCAGGTGATGTTCCATCAAAAGAAGGTCGCAAACATATACAAAAATAACCAACAGCCATCAAGCAACCATCATGCAACACCACCGAGCTGCACGGGACACGAACATCCTCTTTACCACCGTGTTTCTGAAAGCCGATCCGGCGATCCGGCAATCCCCAAACGCGCTTCCTGCTTCGGCGCCTCCTGCTGCGGCTGGGCAGCTTCGGCGCCAAGCTCGCAGCGCTCGCGCTGACGCGCGCGGCGCTTGCGGCGAGCGCACCTGGAGAGCTCCCGAGTCACAAATGTCCGGAGGGTGGATTTGGTGGTCTGGAAGGTGGAAGCAACAGTCCCTGAAATCATCATGCATAAGTGGATGGCACCACCTGATTGTAGAGGGAAAATGGTCTTCCAGGGGCCTGCAGGGAGTGTATGTGTTTTCTTGGGTGGCCGTGTGGTTTTGTACGAAGAAAACATCCGCTGGGGTGAGGATAGTGCAAGGCCGATCTGATCTCCTCAGATGATGCTGGACTCCTGAAAAAAGGTAGAACATGGTAGAACAAAGATCTGAACTCAAGAGTGACTTGATAGACCTGGATTTACTGCCCTGGAACTGGGAAATACATCTTCCATCATCCTTTTTTCATGCCAGGGATATGGGGATGCTTCAAATGCAAAAAGTGTGTTCGTTCGGCGGAAGGTTCCATACCCTGGCACTTGGCCAACTTCCAGACTACCCACGTAAACGTATGATGTATCTATACTATACACGTTGATGTTATGTATACCCTTGGATACCTGGTTCATCCAGGTTCCTCTGTTGCGGGATCTTCAAAATGGAATTATTCTAAGCAATACTTTGTCCAGGCGAAACCTTTGGACACCCAAACAGGAGATGGTACATAGGGTACATTATTACAATACATTACATACCCTGAAATCATCATGGAAGATCATATGGAGCTCGGATGAACGTACTCCACCTCACCATGCTATTCGGATTGAGCATTGATGGTCATGCTCATGCGAGTCTTTACTCAGACCTTCCACTTACTCTTCCACTTCCATCCTCCTTTTTGGCTCCGGCAGTGCACCTTCGCTGGCCCTTTGCAGTGCTCGGTCCAAGTCGCGCCAGTGCACCGTGGACCTGGCGCGGGGTTTCAGAAGGCGCGGTCTGGGGGCCGGCGCGGTCTGGGAGGTTTCAGAAAAATCCCGTGGGCCAAGTTGAAAAAATATTGAACAAAAGCAAAACCAGGGCTACTTCCAGCAGAACCCTGTTCGGGTGGTCAATGTTGAGATACGGAGACCCCTTTGTTCACTACGTATATGACGCATGTGATGAAAACCATGCCAAGGACCATGAAAAAACTGAGTGATGCTGGTTGTTTCGGATCATTGTTCTGCACCCAAGTCGCCCCATGGAAAGACTCACCGGAAGGGACTGCTGCAGTTCCTGGGCGGCGGCGTGCCGCTGGCACGGAAGGTTGACCGGCTTCGCTACAAAGGAAACATTACCAATGGGCCAATGGGAAGAAGACCAACTCAACAAGACTGCGCCCTGTGCCACGAAACAAGAACCTCATGGCGGCCATGATTTCCTGCATCTGCTCACGCGGAAAGGCCCGCTACACCTTCAGGATCGTTTGGTTCTGCGCAGAGCGCGCGTGGGCGGGGCGGGTGGGTGTACGAATCATCCATGTCCACCTCCATGAAAGGTGAGAGCGGATAATGCGCTGGCTCGCGCCCATGGTTACCTGGTTTGCCTTTGGTTTGCCCATATAACAAAGATTGGGAGAGCGGGACAAGAACAGAATCCAGAAAACACACCACCAATGACCTGACAGCAACACGACGACGGCACAAACAGGTGGGGAGTCAAAGGCAGTCAGTTAGAGTGCTTTGTGAAGTACCGATATCTACCATCATCTCTCAATAAACCACATGATAACACACATGTCCTAGACCAGGTCCATCTGACACATGGCTTCTGGACCTTGACTTTTGGAAAAACACCTGTACTTTCATTCCATTATTTCAGGTGTTTTCGGTCTCGTCTCGCTGGGAGAAATTTCTCGGTGACGACTGGACCGCACCATGCACCACCACCGCCATCGCCATGCACAACTCGACGGCATCGGCATTGGCACCGCGGCACTGGCTGAAGATAAGGAGTTGAAACTTCGACCTCCTCGACCTCGACCTCCTCGCAGCTGCGTCCCAGCGTCGTGGCCTGTTCCGCCTGCCGAGCACCGGATCCGGTTCAACTGTTCTGACTTGTGGGGTGTTGCAACCAAACAAAGAATCAAGTCAGTTTGTCAACCAATCGCCGCGACCGTCATGGGTGAACACAGGTGACACACCGGAAAACGGGACCAGCATCTTCAACTACCCTGGCGGCCCTGGTTCCACTGCTTGACCGGTCGCCGTGGCGTTTGGTCGATCGACGCCCTCTCGACCACGTCGCACTACAGTACTGCTCAGTGGTGGCAAGGTGGCAAGGAAGAATCAATTTGGAATTGTTAGTTGGCTTGGAGAAATTTGCATGTTTGGGGTGGCGGAAACCATTTTAGATGATTCGGGTTTGGACCAAATGTGGGAACATGATTTGGGATTTCTTGGGCCCCGTCTGAGAGTTGCCATTGATCGTTTCCGCTCGGTATGCTCTGGTGTGCTACTACATGCTACGAGTTGTATGACTGTCATAAGTCATAAGTCATGACCCAACTTGAGATGTTCTCCCAAGCAAGCAAATCAAGTTATATAAGGGCTCAAGTCAACAGGAAAAGCTTAGCATCTGTATACTTTGGGCAGCGCGACAGCCCTGCACTAAGAATCTAATTTGCCGCCATGGTCCAAGTGGACAACTGAACTGAGAAACTGGAACACAATGGAACACATCTATATAGTTGGAAGCCATGTCTTAGATCCAAAACATGCGTGGATCTCCAAACCAAGTCCTCCAACCCCACCATTAAATCAAGCCCCTTAAGTCGTCGCGATCCTCGCAGGGGGCAGGTGTCGAGTTACACGGGACGAACGCCGAGCTCAGCGGCAAAGCAGCGGCTCCGAGAGAAAGGAAGGAAAGCTCGGCCTGCTGCACAGGCAAGGAGGCCAGTTCCAGCAAAGATGGATACCAAAACCTCAGCGATACGAAAAACTCTCGACCCTGCACACCATTCTTGGGTGTTTGGGTCCCGAAACAAGGAACAAATATAGCTAAAAGATGCTAAAAGTAATGGATCTTCCATCCGAATATCGAATTTTTGCTCTTTGGTTACGGCATGTGTCCACTTTCTAAGGCTGAGACTATTAGATTTGATTTGGCCACACACGCCTCTTCCAGCATCCAGACCCCGCTGGGGCCACGGGCCAGAAGAGTGCCACGAAGAAGCCACTGCTCCCCGCCAGGATCGCCGCCCTGGGCTCCAGGCGGGGTCACCGGCCAGAGGGTCTTAGGGTCCAAATGAGGAGGACCAAGCAGTGATGTTAGGATCATGCCCTAGTGATGAAGGATCGTCTTCTTTTTTACTAAGGTGATGTGAGACCGACACTGTCATGTAGGTGCCAGGTTTGGAGGGTCCAAACCTTCGTACCAAAAGCTGAGGAGAAGGTACGACTGGACGGATCCCTATAGGGATCATGAATGACGGAAGATGGTTTCAATATGGCTACACTATGACACCTGGATCCTTTGCAAGACTGTTGGTTCTACCCCCCCTCATTTGGATTGGTTTCAGCCCTCTTCACATGTACAAATCACCAAGTCTACTGGAGAGCTCTGCCCAAACATGGAATCCGAACATCCCAACCTCCGGTGACCCTGACGATCTTGGGGGCATCGATGCCACATGGCCTCGCTGCCCAGGAGAACAGGGAATGCATGCGATCATGTGGCCCCAAAAAGTAACAAGGTTGCGATCATCCCTTAGGGATCCGTTTGGTGTTTAATTGGAGATCACTGTGGATCTTTGCAACATGCAGGCACACATGCTCTCAGCGGCTTGACCGCACACGGATCGTCAGATTCATTTCTTCAACTCGTCCGGTCAGGTCGGAGTCGGGCGCCGAGGCACACCATGGACTCATCTCGCTCCAGAAGAATCAATGTCATGACCTGAAACTGCTGATAGGTCGGACCGGCCACCCGGCTCCCCCACCCGGCTCCCCGCTCGCCGGTGGCGTGCATGGAGAGAAGAGATGGACTCGGAGAAGTCGGTATTGCAAGGGCACGAAACGCAGAAGAACTGCAAGGAACTGAGCGAATGTATATAGAAAAATGGCAAGTAATGCATTGTTTCAACACATTTCAACATAGCTGGTGGGCAAAATTATACATTGCATCTCTCAACACGAGTTTACCGCATCCTTTCTGCCAAAATTGCTATCTACAGTCTGCACATGATGGTGTTTCTCAGCTCTTTCTTCGGGGCCGGATACGGCCAGCATGTCGCCAAGATCGTACGTCGCCCGACACGCGTCGTCGCGGTTTTCACGGACCGACGTGTCTACGGTCTCGGGCCGGGGCGATGATATAAATCACCAAGCCCAGTTGGGTGTGTTGCATCTGGACACGCCAGAGCTGACCACCCGAATCCGACTTCTTCGTCTCCACGAACACCTCGGTCGTTTGCCGTTGAAGGGTGACGAAGGCGGGCGCCGAACGGTCGTTCCGGAAGGTTGATGAAGGTTGCCTCCGGGTTCCCTATAATCCTATAGCGCATAGCTATATTGATTAGCTCCTGATCGGATGGATTCATTTCGTCTTGGTTCACCTCCTGGATGGATGATATCATAGCGAAACCAAATCGAACATTAATGGAAATCAATAACAAAAAGGATCGGAAAAGAGCATCAAACAAAGAGAAGATGCTGGACCCCTGCCCTCACTCAAGGAATGGCAACCGATTTGCTGGGAACTCTCCCCTGAAATGATTGGATACCCATCTCCCATGAAACGCGCTTGACTGGTTCCTTAGTTTTCACCTGTCAAGAGGCCATAAGAAACCCAAAGACCAAGCGCCGACATAGGAAGCCAAAGCCCAGGACCACCGGGACGAAGGGCTGCAAGCCTTGGAAGGGCATGGCCTTGAGAGTAAGATAGAGTAATGAGTCTAATTACCCTGGTGAACGGTCACTCGGAACACCAACCTGTTTTTTGTTCAGAATTGTCCAGTCGAACGTGCAAGGTCGAACGCCTGAACTATTCGGTGCTTCAGAGCGCCTGTGCTGCTTGGACCTTCGATGGAAACAACGAGACATCAGAAATAGTGGCTCGTGGCCTACGGATGCCGCTACAAACGTCAGACCCTGTGTCACCCAAGAGCTCGAGCAACACACTGCTCTACCGCTGACCTTTCTACGATCCGATGCTGTACGTGAATTGGTATAAGTACCTGCAGTGTGGTAGCCAGGGACGCCCCAATATGTTGGACAAAAAGAAAGATATATTAACAATAATAAGTATCCATTTAATATACATGTAAAACATGAGTTTGAGCAAATGGCACTGGCAGCGTCTGGCACCCAAGATGTCTTTTAGCTGCAAAAGTCAAGATAAATGTTAACCACAACCACCCAACTTGGACATGTGTGTCATCTCATTTCACCTGTTAGTTCCAGCAGTTCCATGTCGGAATGATCAGCATGGGCCATGGGGTTGTGGATGTCCTGAGGCATCCGGATGGAACTTGTGAGCCTGATGTACCGGCCTGGTATAGATCATGGTAGATCCCAATCTTCCAGGGCCCTGGATGATGATGGGGCCTGTAACTGTAACCTTAGTACAGGCCTTTCCATCTCAAAAAGAGTGATCATCCTTTTGCCGACACTTTATTGGCGTTATTGGGACACACACCGTCTCCAGTGTCGGAGGTGTCCTGAACATCTGACGAATTGGGCGAAAGCCATGGCGCTTTCCCAGCCGTCGAATCCCACGGTGCCGAACCGTGCGGAGAACTCTCGGTGCACACGGAGTTCCGCGGTCGACCGCGTTAGTTCAGTGTCTCCAGTGTCTCCGCAGAACGAGCGAAACCGCCACATGGGGGTTCCGCTGTCTTCACCAAGAGGGGGCGGTTTCGAAGTCACGAAGCACAACTTGGATTTGCTTGTTTCAGAACCTGGAAAGAATAGAAGATATTCACCAGAAACGGAATTTTGCCCATAGGGAAAATATACAATTAACAAAATCACCATACAATAACCTGAAGATACCTGAAGCAAAACCAGGACAAAAGAAGAAAGGCATCACTGACATGGAAAGGTGGACACTTTGATGTAGAGAAACCACCCTGGTGGTCTGGGAAGACTCCGTCTTTTGTGGGTTCTCCATGCCGCCGACGTCGGTCCGAAAGGTCACGGGTGAAAAACCCATGACACCGAAGACTCCGAGTGGCTACAAAGCGTGAGACCCATCACCACGTGCAGCGACCAACGGGCACTGCGTGCGCCCGAACCATGAAACGCCTGGTCCTGCGGTATCCAGCGGCCGGTCGAAATGGGGTGTGGTTTCGGCCAGAAATCCTACACCTTCTCAGGTTCGGTACGACTGGGTCCTCCAAGCCTACATGAGAAGGTACGACTGGGCCCTCCATCAGCACATGTTAATGAACACAATCCTGGACCATCCGAACATCTGGGTGTCCAATGGAGATCCCCAGTCCATTTTAGACACCCAGACAGGATGGTCCCGGAATTGAATGTGTACATGTCATTATGTACGAGACAAAACGAACCCTGCAGATCCCTTGTGTTGCACGGCTCGCACGAGTGTCGCACGAGTGAGGCTTTCAGGGTACAAGAAAGCTTGGAAACTTGGAGTCCAAGTCTACCAACAGAGTGGTTGATGAACCCTAGTTCGACACCCCGGGTGACGGGTCCTACTTATGGTCACCTAACCTCTCTTGGTACAGCTGAAGAATCTGTTTGGAACTGCAAGGAGTCGATAATGCGGCCTCCGGCTCTGCCATCTGCCTAGCAGTGCTGACAGGCCTCAGGAAGATGGCATCAGTGATAAGTTAGGTGCCAATGGATGTTTTCTAGCGCAAGCTTGTCTGTGGAATAAAGGACTCATGACATTTTGTGACTGATTGGTCAAATCGAGCAGGTGTTTCATGAATTCAAAAGTTTGCAAAGCTCGCTTCCCACGGAAATCGTCCTGAAGACTGATCCTTCTCTGATCCAAAATTTAATTCCCCGCCAACAACATTTACAACTGCTGCGTCTGGAGCCGTCACCTCAACTGATCCCTCGACTCATCCAAAGCGGAACCCACCAAATGGGCAGGACACTCTCCGGCTTGCACGGCTCGCCAAAAGCGTAGCAGCGGCAAACCTCGCGGCTCGCGGCGTAGCTTGGAGCGAGCGTTTTGAGGCCAATCAAAGGGTTTTAAAGATGGGAGTCCGGTCGACCATGTTAACAATGGTCTGACTTATAGGTGATGAAGAACAAGGGGATTTCCTTTACTTCGGTGGCGCAACAAATCGTCTTTGGACTTCTTGCGGATACATCGACACTTAGAAGAACAGGGTAGAACAATGCATGGTATACCTCTCACACTCCCGCTTCCACGAGTGAGATGTGGATGGAGCGGTTTTCCCCCCCACCACAGGTGAAACAACAAAGATAAACCAAGACACCCGGCACCCGTCTGCCTGCAGCCCCTGCATGTACGGAATAGACGTTCGTTTGAACGTGACAGGTCCAAACGAGGCCAGAAGAACCGTGGTCAGGCCCAAACGCCAGGGATTGGCAGCGAAAACCAAGGGCACTCTCTCTGTATACCACATGCCTTTCATTCATCACTCCACTCCCCACACGACTGCGAGTCGACTGGCGATACGGTGGTCAGTCTCTCGCGCCACGTATGAAGGTCAGGTCAGGTCAGGTCCGTCGTTCGATGTCCTCCAGGTCAAGGGAACCTCGGAGCAAGTCGAAGAAGGGGGCCGCCCACAACAGCACGGCGTAGCGGAGGTAGAAGTTGGTGGCGTGTGGTAGCTGAATGGCCAGCAAGCGCCAGACCTGGCCGGTGTGGTTTGGGTGGTGCGTCGGACCTCGATGCGTCCATCGAGCGAGTCCTTCTGGGGCGAGGAGGTCGGAGCGACGGAAAGCGTCAGTCGGATCGACTGGGGTGCTTCTCTGGGTTCGTGTGAAGTGAGGTTTAAGCCGGCTGTGGACCTTGAGGCCGTCCCGTTTCAAGACCATCCATGTATGCTAGCCTAGATATTAATGAAGTTACATTTGACCCTTATACCATCGTCAAATCACCCCCAATGTAAGCAATTTTTCCATATACACATTGATTGTTAGGGCCGTTAGGGTTTACTTCATCCTAACTCCCAGTACTTCACACCTCAAGCTAGCGGTCTCTGACCACTGCTTCCAAGTCGTCCAACTCAAGACTTCACACCGGCCAGTGGCCACTTGAGGCACCCCTGCCGTTTGGCCCCTGGATTGATTTATGGTGAATGAACAAAGTTCCGCGTGATGGCGTGATGAATAGAAAAATATCAGAACACATCCATATAAAGAGCACCATGGTCTATTTCATTCGCTCTCATGACATTTTTCTCCCAAACACCAGGAATCACAGGCCGCTTTTCCTTTCTCAACGCCAATGAACCCTCTCAGCACCTGTCGCCGTTCTCTCGCGCCGCGCCGCGTCTCACACGACGCGCCGATGGCCGAGACGGAGCGGTCCTCGGTCCTCGGCCGCGCCTGCAAGGGTGCCTGTGCGAAGCGTGCGGCTGCCTCGAAGAGCGACGTGCCGACCGCCGTGACCAGGAGGACGAAGACCACCTGGGCATTGGAGTTCCGGTCGGGACCGGGTCTAAGGAGAGGACCGGGTCCGGCGCGAGGCATGAGAGGAGCTGGTGTTCTGGGCAGGAAAAGGGCTATTTGGCCCTACCCAGCAGAAAACAGTTGTGACCAAAAACGCAGATTACCATTTTCTTGAGGAACCGGGACTATGGAGGTCTATGGCTTTAGTCTTTGGAATCAGGGGGTTTGGGTGGGAGGGGTCAAGCATTTGGCTGTTCTTTGGTGTGATGGACTCAGACATATATAAGAAGTGGGAGATCAGAAGAATGCCTGAGACGGCCTTGGATGTTTTTGGTTTCATAATGTTTCATATATACATATAATAATTACACTGATTTGACCATGAGATACCAATCAACATGCAGAACCTGCAGGGCCCTCTGCCTTCTCTTTGCTGCGTGAGTTTGACGGGTTTTTGCAGGCCGACCCAGGCTACCCAGGCTCTTCAACGGACTTGATTTGCAGTTCTTACCTGGGGTACGATGTCTCTCAATATCTCTCAATACCCACTGTGACGTGCAAAGCGGCCATTCGATCCACTTGCGCAACTCGCGTTTCGGCACCACCAGTTGGAACTCCCAGCGCCCACCCGTTTGACACGCATCTGAGACGCTAGGAAGGTGAAATACCACCGCCTTAGGTCCGGCAGCAGATGTTGGACGAAGATTCCAGGTGAGCGAAGTCACCCCATGCACCAGCAGTAGTGTAGAATCTGCAAATTGATATCCCCGTCCTGTTTGGATTGCAAAACCCCTTCTTTTGGAGGGTTTTTATCAATCAAAATAATACATGACTGGGCTTTCGCGCAAAAAGCGCTTTCTTTCAAACATCTGCCAGGCTTGGCTTGCTCAGTTTCAATTGATGTAACGCATTCTCCGAGGGTGGTGAATCTCTTGCAAGAAGTCTCATTTCGTACCTCAGAAAATGGGTCACAGTCGTACCAAATGGTGTGTCCATGTCTCATGTTCGTTCGGGTACGAACCGCCGTCGGGTCCCAGGGAAACAGCTTGCTTGACTTCATGTTGTATGCCCTTGGCACTCGAAACCACCACCGAAGTCGCTCGGAAACCAGCTCGATCGAGAGACATCGTTTTAGAGCCCCAAAGAGCGACCCCTCCTCCACCCACTTCCCTCCAACCCACCCTGTTTGGCACAGCGGCGTTTCTGTTTGTGCCGCGCCACTGGATCTTCTGTTGGCATTTCACGCCACTGCGGAGGCGATAGAAGCGACGGAAGACGACTTGCAGGATCCAGGGAACTAAGTCCATGAGCATCGATAGAAGGCTTGTGCCCCACCTGAGAGACATGCAATGGTCGTCCGGTCGTCCTGTATGGACGGCGGCGACGGTGGTCTACGAGTCTTGCGAGAAGGTGGGGAACGAAACGTTCCGAATGGCCGGGGCTGCCACCTTGATTGCTTGATCGCGACTTCTTACCTTTCAAGAATGGGTGTGGGTATAAACGATTGGAAAATAACAAATTTGGTTGGCTGGCTGGTCCCCGAATGGCGCACTGAACACCAAGCTCTTTTTCATGTGTGTTTTTTCATTTTGCCTTCAAGTGATCTCGAGGAGATACGGGAACATGTCAGGTCGTCTTCGATCCAACTTCGGTTTTAAAACATGTACCACTCAGTAGGACTGTACCCACTTTCTGACGAAACGTGACTCCAGGTGGCGCTCTCCGCTCTGCTGGCAAGCCACCACGCGCCCAACAAACCCTTCGATCCGCGCCTTCGACTGGTGCAAGCTAGTCAGCTCGCCCCCGATCTTTTGACCTTTGAGACCTCCCTGGAGTCGACGATCTCCTCAAAAACGGTCGACCTCCCTGCGAGCGTCGATCGAGCGTCACAGTCACGTCCCAGGCACAAGGCCTCCCAGGCGGCCGTCAAGTAGGTGTACTCCATCGACCACTCCTGCAAGCTCCGGGACTCCGGCGAACACCGGACTCGCCGTGGCTGAAAGGGGGGCGGAAGTGTCTGAGAAAAACTGGCTCTGGACGATGAATGGGATCCATTGGCCGCCATTGGCAGTCCACAGGACGTCCGCTGGGGGCTCCGGCCTCCCAGGTCGGTCCTTCAAGCCTGGAAGCAACTGTGAGAGGGAATCCACCGAGAGCATCGAAGAGATACCGATCCTCGGAAGGCTCCCAGTTCCCTCGTGAATAAGCTGGATGGATCTGTTGGAAAACACCAATCATCCAGTGGTTGAGGATCAATATTGAGGATATCACACGCTTCAATGTGTGGAACTGGGTCGTTTTCTATGGAGACGTTGGGTCAGCCTTGATGGCACCAGCGTCATCTCCGTCACCACCGACGATGAAACAAGGTAAGAAGTCTTACATTGGTGTTGGGGTACTGTAAATATAATTCTATATAATTCTGGTGATTTCTGCAGGTCTGTTCCAAGATGAAATCGAGGTGTGTCTGCAAGAGGGAACATATGGGACCGTGCAAATGTGGCGTAAATGTTTGGCTGACTCCGTACAAATGGGCTGACTCCAGTTGTTGAGCGCCCGATACCAAGGAGGGGGCATTGTTGAGCAAAGCAATAACCAGTACAGCCTGGTGTAGCCACTGTTGCTCATCAAGCAAATGATGTGCCCTGCAAATCAAGCAGAGCAAATGGAGGGCTTTGTATACATATCATACTCTATTCTAGGCTGTCATAGAGTCATAGACAGTCGACATAAAACCAAGTGTCAAACTCAAACACACAAGCACAAACAAATATCTAATGACATGATCATTTGATTGCCTCGCTGTGATTTAGTGACTTTCTTTCAGCACTAGAGAGACCAACGAACAGCTTAGGGTGCAATTGGTCCTGAGCTCTGCTCGGGCTTGGGTGCAACCAAAGATCACCACTGGAAGAAAGCCGAAGAACACAGCCGCAACCTGGGATCACAATCCAGGGTAGAGCAATTCACTTCAGAAGGGCAGCCAAATATCCAGTTAAAGTCTTGCGGACTTGTTGGGCAAGTTCATACAAGTTCAGATTCAACCGGCCAATCCATCCAGCCATAAAGGAACCAAGTTGACATCTTCCTCAATCTTCCTGAACAGCTGAAACAGCTGGATGTGTTTCTTGCAACTTGCATCACTTCGCTCTCCTTGGATGTATACATATGAGATGACACATGAATTCCTGGAATTACACATGAAATCTGCTAGCAAATGCTAGCAACACAATTATATAGTAAGCAGTCTGAATAAAACAACGTCTGTGGAACAAGCCGAGTCGTATGTCAAAGCTTGCCATTTGCTTCCACGATGCCAAGATTCGACCCAGAAGGGCTTTGCCTTTCGAGAGGTTGGCCGTCTCCTGGAAAGGTGCGACGAGATGGAACACGGGGTCTCTAGAGACGAACGAACGGACTCGATTCAAGCTGGAGCGGCCGACTCTGAAAGTGGAATGAAAGGAAGGTCGGTAAATGCTCGATGATGAGTTGGAACAGGTCGAACATGTCATCCCAAGGCAACAAGGTCGACTGAGGGAAGGCAACAGGGTCAAAAAACCCAGCGGCACTCTCGTTCGTTTTGGGGTTTGGGTGGGGTCTGTGTGGGGCTCGGGTGAAAATGGTCCAGAGACAGGCGGCCAACGCTCGTTCGCTCATGTAATACACGGCCCTCTGCGACACTGCAGTGACCTGTGGGCACCAATATCCAAAGGAACAACAATGAACAAAGAGTCGATTCCAACTCAGTGTCCAGCCATTCTCGATGGAGCTCACACCATGGTACCACATCCCCAAAACCAGAAGTGAGAAGCCCCCTCACCAGGGGGTCGCTTGGGAACATCTAGGAGCTCGCTCTCCCATGTCTTGAGCTGAACACTCATTTACCTTCAACTTGTTAGTCAAAGCTTCTATTGCAGGTACCAATGAACCATAGGCTGCAGCGCCGGTTCTTTCTTCCGGCAAAAAAACGACGGAGCGGATCGGCTCCGGGTGCCGCCGCGTCGCTGCGCATCGCGCCGTGTCGCGACACTGTCCGCAAGCGTGCAAAGAGACCATGCCATTGCTGTCTAACTTTTGGGCCCATGATTCTCAGATACCTGCACAGGAATGGCTGAAGGATACATGCTTTTACTATACGCAAGCCAGTCTGGTACCAGGTGTTCCGGTTCTATGGTCCCGGTCACTGGCTACATCTGGTTACCTCTCCCAGGTGTTCCGGGTCTCCTGACTGAAGCTGCCGAAGTTCACATCCCAGGGCGCCGGCGCCATACTGACGGCATAGACGTTGGGATCTGCAGCAGGCGAGGTGCTTGGTGCTTGGTGCTGGGCCGGTGGATGGTGCGTCAACGCCGCCCGCGGTGTTAAAAAGAAAGACTTCTGGCTTCGTTAAATGAGCGTTGTTGCGTTCAATGAAGCCCTAGGGCCCTAAGGTATACAGGAAGCTTCTAAGATTCCATCTCCAAATGTTGATCTGTTGAGTGCAAGAACCACAGATCATTCTGTAAAGTTCGGTGCGATGTGTGAAAGGGACAGTCACACGAAACCCTGGGTTTTTGCATGGCCAAGTTCACTTGGCAAGCCATGATAGAGATCGATATCTTGTAATGTGCTGCTGCAACATGATTGATAAAATGAACTGAACTGTGACACATCACGCTCAATTCCAGCAAGGGACAGCGTATATCTGTTTCATATCTGTTTCCTAGCAGGTGCAACATGGTGTAAGTTGCCTTCCTTTCCGAAGGTCCTATCTGCTGTCCAAAAGAAAGCATGAACCCATACTCAGCAATCAAACGATCATGCATCATGCCACGTCATCCATCATCAAACATCCAAACATATCAAACCACTAAAATCTAACATCGCTTTCATAACATCCTCACAACTGTCACCAAACAAACAAGAATGAACACCTCCTCGTCGTACATGCCCCCCTTCATCCATCCGGTCCATCCCTGTTCGGGTTCCGATGTCTCCGCCACGAACGGGGCCGGATCCACCCGAGCGGCTCTCGCTGTACTTCAGCCGCCGGGCGAACTCCGCGTGGCGCCGGTCGCGGAAGGTGACGAAGGCCGCGTCGGAGGCGTAGCTGGGAGAACCTGCGGGGTCGGTGGAGCCGTTTGGGGGTCGGTGGAGCGGGACTTATGAGCAGCTCAGGGTCCCAAAGACCGAGCTTAGAATTAGAAGACCTGAAGCATCCTTTGTAACACTTATTTCTGGCGAACCGTGGTTTGGAGCACTTATTGGAAGTTTGAGCGTTAATTGAGGGTATGTACACTTTTCAGGACATATGAGCGCTTTTTGGTGTTGTAAATTCTAAAGCCTACTGGTTCCTGACCAGTGTCCTTATCAACCCTTGTGGGCCTTTGGGGGCCCTATGGACCGGGTGGAAATCCTATATGACCTCTCCTAGTATGTGCAAATGAAACCACAAAGGTTTGGTTCTAACCTTCTGGGCGTGCTTTACAACAATTTTTCCACTAAGCGTGCCCGCAACTTGGGCGCAAATTCCCGCAACCCGGGTGCAATTTTAAAAAGTGGCGGATTGTTTTTTAAGTAAATCTTTTATGTTGATACTGAAGATCAAAGAAAGGGGTTGCTGGCTGCCGCTTCGTAGTGTGTGAGCGTGTGTTGTGTGTGCATGGGATGGGTGCCAGCATGTGGCAGGGGAATGGACTTGAAGACCACACAAGGTGGAATGAAGCTACACCTGACTTTCAGTGGTACGCTTTTTCAAGGCATGAACGCTTTTTTTGATGATGTGCAGTGTTTTCTTCTGTCACTTTTTTCTGCTACGACGGAGGGTTCAGGGACTCATGTTTGTGAGCAAATCATGGAAAAATAAGAGATTTGATGTTGATTACTTGTTGCTTCTGCCCTTCAGAAGAGGTTCTAGAATGTTCTAGATGCTAGCTTCTAGTGCAACATGTTTTGCCTTTTGATTCCATTGAACATCATGGATTAGCCATGTCAAAAGACAAACATGCTGGCATGGTCGGAAGATCCAAATATGCCGACCCTTTGACTCGACTCCCTTTTCAACTACCCCAATGTGTGCCGGGAGTACTTGGCAAGTGTTGCAGCGTTGGCTTTTTTGCGGCAAGGGAAAGTGAAGATCCTGAACACTCCACCCTAGAAAATGGGACGTGATCTGGACATCAAGCAGGTACGACTGGGGCCCCATTTTCAGGAGTATGTTCCCAGGTTGGGTCCAGGTCAAGCTGGAATAGCGATGGCCTCCGGTCGAGCAGCACCGTGCAACACCGGTGTTTTCAGACGGTTTACCGGCCGATGTGCGACCGCCTTCGTCCTCAACGGGGCGAACGGGGACGGCCGACCCCTCACTGAGAGAGTCTGTCGGAAGGCTGTTGTGATGACACCAAGTGCGCAGCTTCCAAACGCCAGGTCTCACCCCACGGGACCTGGAGGAAGTTCCTCCAGGTCCACTGGGAGATGTCTCACCCATGGCAGCAGGTGCCGAGTGACTGAAGATTTGTTCTGCCAGCTGCTCCACTTCCCTTGCCGCCATGTTGTAGCGCTGCTCAAGCGCTTCCACCTCAACTGCCTCAAGGGTGCGGTGTTGACAGGCGCCGCTTTGCGGCGCAGAACAGGATGGGGAAAGAGAATGGAAAGCTCCGGATTTGTATGCGGTCACTGTCGAGATTTTGTTGGCTCTGAAGAATGACTTAGACGACGTTAACTCGCTGTGCAACGAGTTAAACGATTGAATCGCGGAGGTGTCTTGATTTTGCGGAGCTTTCTTGCGGTACCTCACATGGTGGAAACCACTTGAAACCAGGTGAACTCTCCCGGCTTCACCCAGCCGACGGGCGGATGTGGTCCTGGATGGTCGGTTCATCGAGGTCGTTGGTTTCTTCGACCCTTTGGACCTGCTGCCGGGCCCCGTCGAGTGGTGGTCTGCAATTGAAGCAGAAAAGGCACCAAAAGGCAGGGCCCCAAGCTGTATTCAATTCAGTGGGATGGGATGGATTCTGAGCAAAGTACCGAGGTTTTTGGGGTGTGCAAAGGCCTCAATTCTCGGACCAAAGGACTTGTTCATCCTCCTCGGAATATGTCAAGCAATGCACACACATCTGACTTTCATGTTAGAATCGCTGGTTTCTTCCAGTTGCTTTGCGGATGTCCTTCGTGTTTCTGAACGAAGCACCAGTCCGCAGGAACACCGACCGGAGGATCCGCCGCACTGTAGCCATGCCGTTCAATAAGGGGGGAAGAAATCGAGGAAAAAGGAACAGAACACGACAGGTTTTGCAGGGTTCCTGTGCGTGATCCACTTACTCTCCCTGAAATTCACATGGTTACGTGGATGGATGGCACCTGTTTGGTTCGTGGATTTCATGGTCTTCCTTTCGGGTCCATGGGCATCCACTTCCATGTTAGTTCCAGGGAGTGTATCTCCACTATTCCTGCCTTTCAGGATGTGATGAGAGGTCTTCCCTGAACCAAAACATCTGCTGAAACGACCTTGAAAAGCAGCGCAGCATCCGAGTCACGTGCTCCGCGTGCTCTGGCGCACACGCCTTCCAGGGCCATGGCCGGCCACGGCCGGCGGCACACGCCAGGTTTGAGGGACATCTGGGTTGGTTGGAGACCAATTTTGGTGCAAAACAGGTCACCCGGAAACCATCAACATTTGGCAAACTCTTGGCTTGTGAAGGATATGGGTAAAATGAAGGATCTCCTGGCTCCCTAGGGATCCACATACCGAACCTCAGGTTCGGTACGACTGGGCCCTCCTGGCGCCTACATAAATAGTCTCCAATCATCTTCTGAGAAAGTACGACTGGATCCCTAGGGGCTTGTCACAAAATGTGGAATGTCTTGGCAAGTGTGCTTTTGTCATGTTTGTTTATTCACTTCGTAGGCCATTGGTCTAGCCACTATCTAGCCTATGGGTAAATGCTTCTCATCAACCACATCATGTCGACATATGATTTTGGCAAGTGTCCCCTATGAATAGTAATGTCTTACCCTCTTCCTATATATGAATCAAATACAGTAGGGATGCGAACAAGCAGTCCTATCCGGAGGTAATACCCTTTGTGAAGATCATTGTTGCTTTTTGTCCCCCTAAAGATTTCACACAGGTGACACTCAGGCTGGAGAAACACATAGTATATAATTAAAAGTCTTGACAGATCAACTCCAGAAGACCGTCGATAAACTCTTGGCAACCTCAATAATCTGCACCAGAACTGGCTTACGCCATCCACAAAGCCCTGGTGCCCAGAGTCCGGTCCCGTCTTCCCACAGGTGGGGTCCTTCTCAGCCAACTCTTCTGAGAGCGCATTGCGCTCCTGGCAGCTGGACGATGTGCACCGTAGAAACCCATGTGCACCAAGAGGACTAGTCGATGAATCCGAGAAAACGATTGCAGGGACGTAAAAATCCAATAAAAAGCGAGCAAACAATCTGAAAATTGCGTGTGGAGCCGCGAAAGAAAGACCGCTCCTCGCGACCAGAAAAAGTAACACGCATCAGGGCGATGCTGGGATTTTGGTGCCATCACCTCGATTCAGGTGGAATAAATTGTTGATTTATATATATATATATATACGTAGCGTTTATCACCCATTGGAATACCCTCCTGCACAGGACCGCAAAGGACCACCCCCAAAACCACGTCGGGTTGTAGAGGACATGTTTGTCTTCCATGTTGTTTTCTGCAGGGGTCATAATTGAGTGGATGGCCCATGCATTTTTCAAGCGCCTCCAAGAGTGGCTCCAGCGAGGAGGTGTCTCGGACGAAGCTGGCAGCTTTCACCACAGGCTTCCCGAAGATCTCATGGAAAAAGTGGGCCTCAGTCAGTAGCACAGATGTAGGGCCTCATTGCTGGTTCCAGTACTGAATCGACAGGTCGATTTCTGCGTGGAGACCACCTATTGGGTGCTCGACAGGTGCAAGACTTGAAGACATTCAGAACCCTTTTAAGCCGCATGAATTTGGAATACTCTATAGTGCCCATAACTGTTGAAAGACTCTCTTGCCCGGCAGCCTTGATACCTGGTCCGTATCTGATACCTTGTTATCAGCTGGTGGGTCCGTTTCAGCTGGGGGCCTGGTATAGATTGACCTGCGTAATTCGCCTCATGTAGTCTCTTGTGTTCGATGTTGGGTGGGAACAGGTCTCCCGGGGTCACCCACCACCATGACTGATGGACCGACCCAACGACTCACCACGACTGGGTCAAGTCGCCAAGCTTTCCTCCGTGCGACCGACCTCCGGGATGCCTGGAGTGGCAGGACAACATCTGGACCGAAGAAGGCAGGACTAGTCAACCATTTTTGCTTAAAAAGATGGTATATGACTATGTGTGACTATGTGACCCGATGACATGGTTTTTGCTGTAACATTTCGTCGGACTTCTTGTGTCATCGACATGTTTTGCCTCCAGACATCATGAAACTCAACATCTTTGGGGGGGCAAATACGATGAATCCTGCGTATACTGACTTCTGCTGAGCCCTGCTGATGAACCGTGTGGAAAGTACATTCCGAAAAAAGGCGTTTAGGTGGAAACAATCATCCATTTGAAGAGACGATTCCGGGGCAACGAACGTGTCGTGGTCGGGGCAGGGGGAGTAGAACATACAAGAGCGTGGAGGTCCACCTCCGGAGTTCCCAACTTTGTTCGCACGTAGTCCTATCGTACAGAAATCCTTTTCCAAGAATCAACTTTGGTCAAGCGCCGCTGCAAACCTGGGACTGAAGTGTCTGCATGACACCATGCTGTGTTTTTTTTTTTTTTTTTTTTTGGTTTCTTGTCGCCTCTGGTCGCTTGCCGTTAGGGATGCTATGTCTGCGTTCTTCTCACTGCTATGTCTCCACCGGGGTGTGCCTTCCACCAATAGGCTTGTGGACATTGGCTCTTGCAGAGATTGAAGCCAGCCTTAGGGCGTCGTTTTCCGAACAAACAAAATCAGGTCGGCACATGGAAATGCTCTCATGGGAAGGAACCCGCTGCTACAGGTAGGTTACCACTAGGTTAGGTTTGTAAACTTCTAAGGGCAACAAAACATATTGAACAAATATATATTAATTGGATATTTGCACGACAACGTAACTAAACATGGGTTCATGAACATTCAGTTAACAAAGGACCTTCAGCTATCTAGTGATCACTTGGGTTCTTTACTTGGAACACCCGCATCCATCGTCACTTCAACTGCATCTTTGCAAGCCCATGTGAGACTTAAACTATATATTGGATTCCTCACATGGCGCAATGGTTTGATGCTACGCAGGGCTCAAGTCTAGACTCTTCAGGATGCAAAGCTGTGATACTACCACTACATCCTCGATGCAAGAGAAGCAAACCACCAAGAGAAGCTTCTGGAGCATTCTGGAGCCCTTCGTCTTCTGTCGTCTTTGAGAACAAACATTACTTCAAACAGTTGCACCAAACATCCAGTCTGATAATCACTGTTGGTGGCCAAAATCCTGCTGTGTGCACAATATTCTTGTGGCCCGCGTTCTCCCTCTTTGAAAATTGGGAGCACCACAGTGACAAAAGAAAAACACAATGAACAAAACAAGTTGCATTGGCCGAAATCCTGCACCACCTACGCAAGTCAAACGCGTGGCACCAACATTGAATGACGGGGCGGGGTTGCTTCATGACCCTTGCCAGCTGCACTGGTGGGGTGGTGCAGGATGTTTTCCATCAACCGCACTGCTCCAGGTTCAAGGTTAGTTGGATCCTTCTTCTTGCCCAGCAGCAGCTGCGCCTTTGACGAAATTGGCTCCGCTGCACGTGCCAAACCTCAGTCTGGTCGAGAAAAAGACTTCATCACTGCAAATCAGGTAACATGAGGTGGTATGAGGTGATACTGGGGTGAATGGAAATGTTTGGAAATTCATCGGAATGCGACCGGAGGTTAGGATAGACCGCTCCGCATGGCACTGACCAAACCTCTCCTTTTTTTGGGGCGCCCTGATCTCCTGGTTGAGCCTTTGAAGCCTTCTGAACTGACCTGGATGGTGGTTTGGGCACCCTTCCCAAACAAAATTGTCAACCGGGGTCATTTCCAACGACTATAGGTGCGGATTTCGATACTGCTACTCCTGATCGATGGGTTGATGTGACACCTCCCTTGATGGTCCCCAGCTCCCTGACTGAACAAATCTTCCGAAGCGGGGAAGAAGTATATGACACAAGTGCTTGACTTCCAAACATCCTTCACATTGGCGACCCGGACCATCCGGTCGCTGGAAACTTCCATGTACCAGGTATACGTCGGACAACTCTCAGTACTGGATCAACAAGTGATGAAGAAGCAGGCTGGTCCAATTTCAGACCATCTCATACAGTGGTTTTCACGCTTGATTCGAGGACTATCCAAAGACAGCTATGCTAGGAACGCTCAGAATCCTGGGTTTTGTTGGTTTCATGTGGTTTCATCGGCTAGCTGGGAATCCTTTAAGCTTCGATTCTTGAGCGAAGCGATGCGGTAGATAGAGACCCTCGACTCCTCGACAGCACCTCCCAAACAACCCCGTATATCTGCCGAAGGAATCAAAACGGTTTCATCTGTTGGGGGTTGTTTCAAACATCCTGCAATCACATGCCAAACAACTTTTGAATCCGTAAAACGATGTGAAAACACCACACATCGTTGTTTAACAGAGTTCGCCTCTGTGAGGTGTCATGTCCAGCCAGCCACCTGCTTTTCGCACCGGTTTGGAGGTGTCAAACGTTGGACGATACAACATATGCTGGGTGAACCACCTCTCAACCTGGGATCAGATTCTCAGGTTCTGCGTTTCCTCCTGCAACTGGCAGGCGAGGGGCTAGGTAGAGTACCAGCAGTACCACATACCACACCTGAGCCAGTCAGCAAAGGAACATAAGGATCTCCAGTCCAAAAGCCTGAAAACATGAGAACTCGAAACAAAACCCCTGAGACCTAGCTCAGGTGATCTGTTCTGTGGATTCTCATCCCATGGAGGAAACCATGCTGCGGCAAACATCTAATTCCATGTTCCAGCACAACCCAAAGAGTGGTTATGTAGTTTTCATCTAATCACCACCCGACGTGGGTGATGCTGGTTCATGTTTGTAGTGTGTGTACTTTAGAATGCTCTACTCGGGCTGCCAGGATCTCTGAACACCAACGCCATTGCAATGGCTAAGAGCCCTTGAAACCTCCACACGATATCCTGATCTTGGATCCACAAACCAAATCTTGCAACTGGCCTTTTTATATGGTCGGCCTCCATTCCAATTGCTATACATAGATGTCATAGTATAGCGCGCATCTCTCCCTGTAGATTGAATCTTCCCTGATTTTTCTTCTCAAAAACACAACTGCAATCCGCCAAGAAGAGTCATGTCCAACATGCACACATCATTGAGCAATGAGCAATTTACGGACCCATGCGGATAACCGTTCGAGACACATGAGACACAACAAAGGTCGACCCAGCTACTCCCTGAATTAGCCAGACTGTTTGAAGTCCATCCCTCCGGGACAAGTTCATCCCTCTTAAGGACCTCAGTCCCTATAGGGATCCAGTCGTACCTTCTCAGGTGATGTGTTCGACACGAACCTTGTGTAGGTCATGCCGTCGGGTCCAGTCGTACCGAACCTGAGAAGGCACGACTGCATCCCTAGGGAATGATTTGAACACCCATCGACCTGCGCGAGAGGCGAACCGTGAGTCGAACCGCCGTTCGAACCACCAGGCACAGCAACTCGAGCAGCATCGGAAAAAGCCTGAAAATCCTGGTACCGACAGCCGTTTTGGAATGACAACAGACTCCAAAACACCTGACCAAATGCTGAACATATCTGAACATGATCTAGTTACAGCATATGCATATATCTATACCGGTCTAAGACGCCTCTCAGAAATGCAAATCTACATCCACTCTTCCCCGGATCGAATCAACTGCAGGGTCCCCTGCAAACAGGTAGACCGGCTTTTCCTTTGCGCCGAGCGCGGTGCTTTCCTCGGACGGCGCCGAGGGACAAAGGCCACGTGCGCCCACAGAATCCACGCTTCTGCCCCATCGCCCAAACCTCGGACACGCAGTGAAGGACGGACGGACAAAGAAGCTCGTGAGACGAAGTAGAAAGCAGCGGTTCTGAAGTGGAAAGCACCCGTTTTGCAAGGGTCCCAGTACTCTAGCTCAAAATGGACCATACTTGAAGCAACTACTAGGTCAATTGAGCTTATTCGGGAGAATGGAGACTGAAAAACCTCCCAGTACCCTAGCCACCCTCCATTGGTCTGACTTGGTCCCTTCGGGTCCGGTTTTGTTCTCATGAAGGTAGTTAGAACTACCTTCCCGGGCCATACTGGTAGTGAGGCCAGGAGCCCCTAGTAGTGTCCTTGTTACTAGCAGTAAGGCCAGCAGCCCCTAGTAGCGTCCTTGTTACTAGCAGTAAGGCCAGGAGCCCCT